TCGGTGACGCTTACTTAACGTTGTATCCATCTCGCGTGTTTTTTTTATGTCAAGCATGTATACACCAGAAATCAACCTCAGCCTTCGCGAGAAAAACGTGAGAAGATCTTGAATTGATCTGTAAAACGATCGAAAAGCCAGGTCATTGGATGTCCTACCAATTTCATCATAGAGTAACTGTCAGAAATTGTGTATTCATTTACCTTTAAGTCTAAAGTTTTTCAAATATTGACCTACCATAGACAGGAGAGGCCAAACGAACAGTACCGCAATACCGTGCAGGGGCGGATCCAGGGTTTTTTTTAGGAGGGGGATGCACTCGTCTCTTGCTCTATTTCAACACCAATAAATCACATAGTTTTTTTTTTGCAGAATACTAGCCTGCGTAGCAAGCGTTTCCGCGCGAGTTCGTCGAGAACGTCGGGACGAGAGCAAAAAAAAAAGCTTCCGCTCTAACTTTCGCGCAATAACTCGATTGGAAACGCTTGCTACGCAGGCTAGCAGAATACCAGTTGTATTAGAAAACCGCAGGTCATCTCAGGGGGGGGGGGGGAGGGGGGTGCGCACCCCCTGCACCCTCCCCCGAGATCCGCCTCTGCCGTGAAGGATCTTCTTTTACCGAATACCGTTAGCCAGAAGGATGAAAAAACGCATACCGCGGCGCTGGATGATACCGCAATACCGCCCATTATAATCCAAATTACCGAAATACCGCTTGAAAAAAATTGCTCAATACCGCAATACCGTAAACCCCCATGTCCCCCTCTTCCAAGAAGATCAGAATAAAAAAGCTACTCATTGCGCCACTGTCCGACTTATTTAGATAAGTGTATGCTTATTATTTATTTAATACTAACTATAGATGGTGTACAACTTTTCTTAAACGTCTTGCTACTTGTTTTTCACTTTCCTTCGACCTCTCCAGCTCGTGGCGGGAGATTTGTAAATTTTATTTTTGATACCACCGCCAGGAAAAAAAGGCAAAGGCTCCCTAGGCGAGAATTCTTCTCGCCACTGTCGCCCACTTTCAAGACTAGCACGAACCTTAATTACGCTGGACAATTACCAATGTTCTTGGTGGGGCACTTCAACTCCGATACTATCCGCTATACTATTTTATTTTTTATTATTGATTCATATATGATTCCAAGCTAATAGCATCCTTTGATACCTCTTAGTAGAATTTCTATAAAACATTTGCCTGGACCTACGCCTGAAAATTTTCTCGAAAGACAGAAGGGTAGCGTCCCAGTCGTCTTTGCAGGACGTCCAGTCAGTATTTTCTGTTATTTCACTGATTGACGTCTATCGTAAAATGATCGAAAGATTATTCCAGATCGTCCTAATTTGGTCAGTCGGTGAAAGCTGGTTATCATTCAATAATTAAAAGTGAGATTTTTAGTCCAAATTTGTTGAGTTATACTTTTTCTCCTCCCTATAAACCGTCCCTCGTTCCACATAGAGGCCGCCAGAAAATTTTATCATAATAATTCCTTGATTTCTTGGTCTAGGGGCTCATGTGGGACAGCGCTAAAGAATTTGGAGCAATGTTAGTATTTGCTGAACATAGGTACTACGGAAAGTCATTGCCCTTTGGCACAAAGTCGTACAAGGTTTGTTGAATATTTTGTTATGTGTGAGTTTCTTTAGAGCTAGCATGCAGGTATGACTGAATTATTAACTATTATTAACTCTCTTTCTTCTCTTTTAAGGGGCCACAGTACTTGGGTTACCTCACGTCTGAACAAGCGTTGGCTGATTTCGCCATCCTAATTAACCACCTCAAGGTAAACAGACTCCAAGAAACAAAGTACAATGAAAAAAGTTCATTGTGGAGCTTTGCTTCCTGATGATATATTCTTTTAAATAAGAAAACTGAAGGCATCTTCAACGCTCAGTTTATCGTTCTGTTGATAAAAAAATGCCCGACGCACCGATCAACAGATACGTTTTGTATTTTATGATGTCGTTCTAATACAACATCATCTGTTGCTTTGCTTACACACTCAGGATACAATTCCAGGAGCAAGTGACAGTCCGGTTATAGCCATAGGAGGCTCATACGGCGGTAAGAAAATGCTATTTATTCGATTTTATAGCTTTAAAAAGAAAAGAAATCAAGATATGGGTTTGGGCTCGTTTCTTTCGAGATAGGAGTGATCTTAGATTATTTGAATCCTTTACGACGACAAACGTTGCAGCCTGCGACCTTCCGCTTTGCAGCAGACCGACGCCCTGCCAACTAATCTGAACACCCTGGGCCGCAGTTTATAGGGTCATTGCAGCGTTGATGCGTTGAATTTGTTATTTTGTAGGTATGCTGGCTGCTTGGATTCGAATGAAATACCCAAATATTGTTGCGGGGTAAGAATTTTTTGTGTCCTGTTTAACGTTTACTCCCGCCGGTCTTTTTTCATGCCTATTAAAAATTCAATGCGTTTCTTTTCTACCCCAGGGCCCTCGCTGCCTCAGCGCCCATCCTTCAATTTACTGGTTTGACACCATGTGAGGTGAGATATCAAACTCTTCTACTGGGCCGGTGCTCCGTGCAGTAGTGGGTTGGAGGATGATTAGAAACCAACATTCTTGAAAGCATACATGCATATGTACATACATTTTGGCTCCATTTCGCAATGTTAGACGCTATTTTTAAACATGAGCATAGCCATTAGTGCAAAACAGTGATTTACCTCGTAACTAAGAGAAAACATGGGACGTGGAAGGGACCTGGCGCCTACCTTAATTAGTGCCCGATGACAAAGTCTTTACCTTGCACTCGGGCACCGGCGCCGTGTGCCAAAAATCTGGCGTAGATATACTGAAAAAAAGGGCCGAAATTGGGTGTGTAACATTAGTGCCTATAGCTCAGCAAGCATCGCACGTAACTGCCGTCCTCGGGCATCAAGTGTACATGAACACTGCCTTGTTAGTGACTCCGCCTCTTTCGTAATTGCCTTGGATAAAAGAAACTAATCCTCAATTCTTAATGTCCTTTCAATTCACAGAAATTTTACCAAATCGTCACCAAAGATTTTTATAAAGATGGAGGTGAAGCTTGCGTAAATTCAGTAAAGAAGACGTGGAACACCGTCAAAGAGTACGGCAAAACAGGTGAAGAAAACAAAAAAAACTCTCATTTAAAGTCTACCGTCGACTCTCTCTGAGAGTAGACATCTTTGTGACCGACACTAAGTTTTGGTCAAAGAGTATTGTCCGTCTCATAGAAGCGGTCAAATAAAGAGAGTAAAGAAAGAAATCATCAACTCTAGGTGTCCGTTTTATCGAGGTGTCCAGGCTTATTATACGGAGGTGTCCGTTACGAGAGAGTCGACTATATTACCAGCTTCAAGGAAGTTTAGTACGCATTACTCGTTTCTTTGCGTTTGCATTAAAAAAAATCCATCAAGTTGCTGAGCTGATTTGGATGGTGGTGGTGTTTTCGTTTAGATTCACCGTACGCGGTATACAGGGCAAGGGGCACGCCATTACTGAAACACTGAACTGAACTGAGGAAACATATAAACCGCATAAACTACACTCGACTAATCCTTTGTTTATATTTTTTGCAGCTAGTGGACGAAAAAAGCTAACCAGCATTTTTAAGCTATGCTCACCTCTAAAAACCAAAGAAAACGTCACTCAGTTAGAATACTGGCTGAGTGAGACGTGGGTCAACTTAGCAATGGGTAAGCTGTAATGATAAATTGAAGTTTACATTAAGGTGCTTAACTTACAAAACTGTGCAGGATTTCCTTATTTACTTTTCTTTCTTTATTTCTTTATTACTTAATTTAATTCTCAGTTGATTACCCATACCCTGCCAGCTTCTTGGAACCTCTTCCAGGTTGGCCAATAAAGGTGAGACATGCACTTAACACTAAATTATCAATTTCAATTATTTATTGACTTTTTTTATTGTTGGAAGATATGTCGTCTTCGTCTTCGTTTGAGTTAAGACACAATTAATTTCAAAATCAAAGTTAGCCTTAAAAGGTTCTTATAAATAAATAAACGGTAATTAGCCCAATTAAGGCTTTTTAGGTTCTTAAATAGGTTCTCATTTATCTCACGAAAAAATACATTGTAGCTAAGAGTATTTAGTGGTATTCGGCTCATTCCTTGGGTAAAACGTGTGTACCATTACCATGATTGCAATTGAAGTAATAAGGCACCTATGTATCCAAAGAGGATCCTGAAGGTTGACTTCTGACACTTCTTATATGCCCAAGTGTACAGAATCTTTTATAATAAATATTTTAGGGAATAATAACCTGTTTCAAATTTTAGGTTAAACACTTTCTTGTCATAGCAAACTAGCGTAACATAACTGGCAAATGACTAGCAAATTTTAGCTAAGCCAGTTTCTTAGTCGTGGGTTTTTTCTGTAATCGTCTCTCTAAGTCTCAGTAAGGCCGTGTTCTTCAGGCAGCAGTGACGGCTTTCCCGTGTGAAAAAATCGGGAAAAGTTGCGTTTTGTTTGAAAAATTTGTCTCAAAAAGTGAAATTTTGTTTGTGGTTTTTATTTATCTACTACATTTTTCAGGTAAACACTTACTGGCGCAGATTTATTGCAACTTCATTTGTATCCATAATGCATAGAATACTTATTTTGTTAAACGATTGAAACGATTTCCTTGTGTTAATATTTTTGTCTTAGGTCGTTTGTAAATACCTGCAAAACGAGACATTAGAGGATGACAAACTCTTACAGGCCATTGCTAATGCTGTTGGTGTGTATTACAACAATTCAGGGCACGCTAAGTGTTTCAATACTTCACAACAAGCTGTTTCCTTCCTCGGGGACGAAGGCTGGTCTTTTCAGGTAGGCAGCCATACAGCCATATATAAATTATGTACTTATATTATTACATGTTTTATATTTTGCAAAAATTGACCCGTTTTGGAAGACTGGGATTCTGCTTCAATTCCTGGGATTTGCTGGAGTTTTTAGAAGTTCAAACGGATTGTATCACTCTGTAGTGTGTGCGATATGGCCGTTGCCCTCTCTCTAATTTGTCGCAGTTGTCCCCCATGATTTGCGCAGGGGATCGAGAGTCTAGCGCTCAGAGACAATGCGGTGATGCTTGCGCATCTCTCGCTCGTCGTTGATACAACCGAAGACGAGTTACTTCGACCCTCAGAAATTCGTAGAAATCCCATGTCTGTCATTACCCAACCCAAAGTCATTAAATGTTACAAATGTTGGGTTTTCTTCCTGTGAACTTTAAAAGACTTTCTTGATTATTCATCTGAGGATTATTTATTTTTTTGGTCACTGTCATTACAAGCGAGTAAACCGAACCATCTTTAAATTTATTCCTTACATTTTAGGCTTGCACAGAAATGGTGATGCCTCTCTGTTCAGACGGAGTCAACGATATGTTCACGGAGTCAAAGGTACATATCAGTCTGCAATTAACCATAAGAAAAGTCCAAAAGATAGATTTTCGCGGTCTAGTTCTCAAAAACAGGCGAAAACATCTATCTATCTTAGAATAGTGCGAGCACTACGGTAATATATCAAACACGACTGCAAGCAGTCTGGGTTTAAAAGGACCACAGCAGCGTTTCCAGACACCCAGATATATGTCACATCTGAAGGGCTGCGAACCTTTTCCGAGATTTGAGTCTATCTTCATGATTGAAATTCGGCATTTTTTAAAGATGATGCCGATTGCATTTCCCAACCACATTTCCGGCAACAATTTTTCTTCTCTTTATGTTGAGTATTAATGAGTTGGTTTGAGAGGCCATTTTATTGGTTTTGTGTGAGGTCACGACGGCCATGTTCGGTTGCGCCTGCGCCTGCGCCTGCGCTCAAGGATCCTCACAACAAAATTTGTTCCCAGGTTTCTCTCGCTCCGCAGGGACGACCAGGAGAGAACCCTGGAAGCTAACTTGCGATGAACTAAACTTTATCTGTAAGCAAATCCTGCGAAAACGATATCTATTATATTGACCATCAACAACACCTTTGAATCTTCTTCATAAACTCGTCTGCTTTTTTAAAGATGAGGCTGAAGTTTTGAATTGTAATGAAGCATATTAATTCTGATTTTCAGTGGGATTTCAAGGAATACTCACTGGACTGCCAAAAGTCACTTGGTGTAACTCCGCTGGAGTACTGGGCCGAAATTCTCTATGGCGGGAAGAAGATACGAAGTCATAGTAACATAGTTTTTAGGTCAGTTTCAGTTTATTTTACTTTAAATCAACGATTATTGGATGGGGATTTGGGATACCCGAAATAAATAAAGTAAGTGTTATAAGCTAAGGCCGAAGGGCGACTCAGATAACATTCATCGACTCCTTGTCTATTCCGGATCACAATTTGCATGATCTGCACGGAAATCGAGTCTAGTAATTGTCTTACTAACTATACTTTGTTCTATAGTAGACTGTCACACTGAACACGTTGGATATTACCACGTTTTGAAGATCCTAGCCTGATCAACCGTCTCCTCGACCCGCACACTCCCGAGAAGTTCGCGACTCAAGGGGGCGGCTGAGTTTCACTTTGCTGAAAAAAAAAAAAATGTATATCACCTGCTTTGTGATTGAGACAAATTTTTGCATAAGCACGTCTCTTTTTTTTCAGCAACGGCGAACTTGATCCATGGTCAGGAGGCGGAGTTACCCAGAACCTTACCGACAGCCTCATTGCCGTGCTAATAGAAGATGGCGCACATCACTTGGATTTACGACACAAAAACCCGTTGGACCCTCCATCGGTCGTGCAGGCGCGAAAAGTGGAGAAATTTTATATGGCACAGTGGATAAAAGAATATCATGAAATGAGGAAGAAGAAAGTGTATTATAGGATGTCAAACAAAAAAGCTAATGGAAAATTTAAGAAAATTGCAGTTCTGTAGCTCTTGAGATTTTTCTATTGTCCGTGATGCTTTTAATTAACTTTTGTATCTACAGTTTCCGCTGGCAATTTCCTGCGAGAATTGTATTTTCATCCGTGAAAAATACCAAACCCAACATTCAGTAATAAAATTCTTGAAAACCCTATAGCACCATCAAGAAGAATTTCTTACCCGTTTTAAATTTTAAGGATTTAATCAGAAGTTTAATCCCGTCTTTGGCACAGGCTAGCTCTTTCCAAACGACCATAATAGAATTGATTTACCTCTCTTTTAGAAAGAAAAGTTCATTTCGTCGAACATATCTCCAGTAATAGCATTACACCAGGAGCCCATTTATCATCCTAGTTTTTCAGTTTTTCTCCGTTTTGACATTGGACTCTTTCCACAAACACTGAAGAGGGACATAACACAACTCAAACTCACGAAGGGAAAAGAGCTTAAAAAAAACAAAAAACAAATACAAAAACAAAAACCAAAAAAACATACGGTGGCAACTTTCCTCACTTGCAGCCAATGGCTGAATTGCGGAGGAACCAGGAAGGTGAGATGGGACGTCAGCAAGTAAACGAGCACTGTTGGAGCCACTTCAGTCTACGTTTTGATCACACCTCGCCCACCCAGACCAATGATGGCACAAGTCAGATAGACCGTCACATCGGGGCCCACGTCCCCTGCTCTTTTCGAACAATGTCACGGGTTCTTTTACGTCCCCTTCCAACTGGAGAAAGGGGTTTATTCACAGCTAGCATGATCTCAGCGGTTTTTTTAAAGACCTTGGTTGATGGTCCGGCCGGGGTTTGAACTCACGACCTCCCGCTCAGCAGACCGGCGCTCTTCCAACTAAGCTAACAGGGCGGCGTTACAATAAACGCCCAAATTGTCTTCCCGATACACACACAACAAGTTAAACAGTCCTCACTCATGATTTATTTTCATGTTTTCTATATTTAAATACTTCTGGGTTTGAAATGAGTTGCTCCTGAAAATTCTTCTAAGAACTCATTAAAAAAGACAGCCCTGTTTACACCCTCTTCTTAACTCGGAAAAGTGGGAGCGGAAAAGTTACTTGGTGGAAAGACCCGCCTAGCATTACCATTATATTACGTAACGTTCAACAATGTACCAGTGGCTAATTCCAGGCGCGGTTTATTTGGGAAAAAAAAGACACCGCAGATAAATACAAAGACACAAAAAACAAACAAACAAACAAACAAACAAACAAAACAAATGACTTCATAGCAGCAAAATACTTTCAAACTTACGAAAATGAACTTATTTAAGAGAATAAGAGTAAGGCTTACCGTAAACGGCAAACGTCAGATTGAAGTTAAGAATTTATCAGAAAAGAATAAGCAGATAAAAACTGTCCCGAAAATTTATTATGGATAAAACTGGCGTGAAACTACTTAATTTTGAGTAGAAGTAATAAACAGAAAACGAGACCTAAGGGAAATACTTGGTCATGTGGTACAAATTCACGTTTGCCGTTTGGCGTAACGTGCAGTTGTTTTGTTTTTATAGATTTCAGTTGTATAGACAGTAAGCTGGGTAGACTATCGATTAACCGCTTAATCGTTGAGTGACAAAACAAGAAAGGCTGCTTAGGAGACAATCAAATGAACCAACGGCATGGCCAAGAGCTATAAAACGCGCGAACAAATCACAAATGGTTTAGGTTTTACTCCTGATGGGTACATAAAAATGGGCGAAAGGTAAACGGTAGTGAGGGCCTAATCGATACATTCAATTAGCGAAAACAGTGTACCACATTTCTTATTGGATAAAGCCAATTACGCGCTATTTTCTAAACCAATCAGGAGTAAAAAGATCAGCAATCCTGAATTGCTTGCTAAAGTTTTCAACGGTTTTCAGCTACAGCCACTAGCTTTGACAGGCAATTGGTTCACTTCATTGCCTACACGTACTGTGATTGGCTACGGTATTAATTTTACTTCTACGTTGCTCAATCTTCAGACCACGACTTTCAGATTATATTCACAATTCACTTAGCAACAGAATTCTACTCGTATTCTTGCGCATAGCCCTTAATCCTTCCAGCCGCAATATTAAAATACAAATTCTTCGGACAGATCTCCATACACTTCCTTAATCAATTAGTTGAGAGAATTTGTTTGAAGATCAAAACATTTTCCATGAGGTAATAACTTTATTGATGTCGTTAAGAGAACATTTTAGTCAATCTCGGAACTAACCGGGTCAATTGATGCGCATTAATTTAATATCCTAGTAGCACGCTGCAGGGCGTGACCTCACGCTTTTCCCTGATGTCTTTTGTCTTTGTTGTCATCAACTTCTTCCTCTTCGGGATAAAATACTTTTTTCAAACGTCCTAAGAAACCGCTGTCATCCTCACAAGCTGTCTTGGTACCTTGGAAGAATTGAAGAGCCAAAAACGTAGAGTTAATGACAATGCAGAAACATTTGTCTGGTTAACTTTCCACGCAACACCACGCAACGCTACGCAACGCCCCGAAGAAAAGGGAAGCGCTATTTGACAAAAAAAAGATTTTCTTCAAGACCTAGCAAGGCTTTAAGGCAATTGATTTCACACTTTGTCACGAACACTTGACTCATCAATGTTCCCATGGTAACCAATCTGATTACATGGATGAAAGTCGGACGTTGCCTCTTATGTACTACTGTTCTCAGGGACCATTCTACAAGGAGTTTTAAAACGTCATCGCCATTTTTAATGAAATCCCCAGAAAGTAAACCCTCATCAGTGATGAAGGCGAAAAAATAAAAAAAGACATGACACAGGGAGAAGATCATGAAGGATAACCCAACAATGGTTTTCAATCAAATAAAAAACCTGAATATCAGATAACTGAAAAAACAAACGAATTATCACAACGCCAAAGCCGATTAACAGATCAGAAGACCTAAAACGCTTTATGGGGCACCAAAAAGGTTAAGAAAGTGTCAATACGTTCCTCAGACAAGTTGATCACATTTTCACAAGGTGGCCTCTTTGCATTGGCTAAACGACTTTTCCAACTACTGATCGTTCGCAGGGGTTGGAAACAATATGAAGCTAGGTAGCGACCGCTGACTTGTAAGCAGGCATTAGCTTTTGCTTCTTACGCGTTAACTGCTTTGTTGTATGTGTATAGAAAAAGTTTGAATAAAACCATACCTAATTACAACGACAACGCGTTTTAACAAAAAAAGAGATTAAAAAGTTTTCTGATTAGAACTAAGTCGGTTGAAACGACCACAGTTGAAAAACGCGGAATTGATTTTTAATTCCTAATCTTGACTCTCACTGTTAACTAGCACCACAACCGCCTTCAAAATTAGTTATTGTTCTAAACTGTTCTTTTTCAGTGACATCCTCTCGGGCGTTCAGCGTAAAAAAATAAAAGTTCAACAGCAAGTAGACTGCGACAACACTGGAAGTGACCATTATAAATCTCATAACTGCTAATTTGGTCTGTTTTGCTTTTGCTTCTTCGTCCTCATCGTCCCACGAACCGTCAGGTCTAAAGCGACCGAAAGGACGTTTCTTTTCAACAACTTCTTCAGACTCGATCTTTTTGGAGATATTTTCGCCTTTGGGTGTTTCATAAGCCTGCCAGTCGTTGCTAGTAGCGTCTGTGTGATGGATAGATAGATTATCATGCAATGCCATCAAATTGTCTTTACATACCTGCGTTTGTTACTAAAGGCAGGGATGTGAATAGCATGGACTGAAGGTATACATGCAACACGAGAAGGCGTGTTTCATCTGTTATCGAAAAACTTATTCAGAGGGGTTAGCAATAGACTATCCACGGTCCCCTATTTTTCTGTCTGATAACCGAGGTCGACCGCCGAGTTTGGAGGCCGCTGTATCTATTTCCTGTGATGGACGTAACCTGGGAAGAGCACAAATCAGCCCCCCAGGGGAGAGGATTGGATGGTCTTCAACCGCCCCCCTCCCATCCGGGCCCGGGTCCAAGGGGAATTTTTACCCTTCGGCAATCGACCTCAACAATCTCACGAAAAATAGGAAGCAGTTAAATGTCTACGTTGAACTGATTCTTAGTCGACTCAGACAGAGCTATCTGAAAAAGCCGATTAGCGCATATCCGGAGTACAATTTCCTTCTTATTTATTGTCTTGGTGTTGTTAAAACCGTATCTCGGAGCTTATTTCTTTCAAAGATGCGGGCTCCATGATAAGGGATGTAACACTCCTGAGGGTTTTTTTAATCTCCTCATAAAGATCACAAATTCTTCAACAAATTAGAACTAAAAACAAAATTATGTTACAGACGAACAGCTAACGAGAATCCGGCGCATTTGGACAGTTTTCACACGGTAGTGGTTCCCCTTTGTTTTGGCCCAAAATAGATAAAAGAACTAAACAACTATTTTCAATCATGCGGGCTCCATGAATTTCAAACACCCTCACCTTTGCTGGACTTCTCCAGTCCGTTTACTGTCCCATTAGCATCATCTTCAAGCTCAGCGTATGCTTGAATCAGCGCCTTTTGCTTCTCATTCAAGTACCTTATTACAAATTTACAAAATAGCACTCATCAGTAAGAATTTTAACTCATAAGACCGCTCCGAAGAAAGTCAATAAAATTATAGACGTCATTTTCAAAACAGGACGGGAAAATTTCAAGGCAAATACATGCAAATTGTCTAGTGTGTCATACGAGTATGAAAGCCGCACCACAAATTTGATAGCATTTTTTTAAAAAAAATTCTTTCAGAAAGTTGAAAAAAAAATTAAAAAAAAAAAATTAAATAAGTTTAATGTGTAGACAAGGAATTGCTTTATGTGATAAGATCTTTCACCGTAACTCATAGTCTTTTTGCTGTAGAATTATTTGTTTTCAAAGTAAGATAATGAACTTAAACATGTACAGTCAACTCTCGCCTTGCGGACACCCCGCTATGACAGACACCCCAATAATACGGACAGCAGATAAATTCCGGACAAAAATAAATTACAGACATTTGACTGAAATAAACTCCCGCTATTACGGACTCTCGCTACAGAAGACACTAACTCAAGGTCCAACAGTTTCTGCTATAAAGGGAGTTGACTGTACATACTTAAATATTGATTTTATCGATAGACTGAAAAAAAACAGACCGTTTCCATGTAGTTCTGAGTCTCCCTTGGTAACATTAAGGAATAATTTATACATAAAATAATGTATTTAATATTAGGCTGATTCGGAGTCCCAAAATTCTCACTCTCACCAGGCTAAGTGCAAAACTTCTGATGAAAATGTGTTTTATTTGCATGAAAACAAAAAATCATTTTTATACCAATGGCTTTGCACTTAGCCTCGCTTTGAAACAGAGGCTTGGAACATCCTGGAAATGGCCTACAGTCTTAACCACAGTAAAGTCCTGATACAGTATGTTCAACTTACTTGGGTATATGTATTTTAAAATTGACAAAATGATCCCCTTTACCCATGCCATTTAATCTTGGGATGCCACGCCCTGAGAGTCGCAGCTTCTGATGGGACTGTGTTCCAGGGGGAATCTTAAGCTCAATCTCTCCGTGGATCCCAGGAGCACGGATTGTTCCGCCAAGAATAGCCTGTCATAAACCACATACACATCAGTCAGGGAGCACAATCAACAATGAACTTTACCTAGTCGACTAAAGTAAGCTCCTGAAACTGAACGACATCCTACGAAATATACAGTGAAACCTGTATTAAGCGGACATCGTATTAAGAGGACACCCTTCATTAAGTGGACAGTAGCCGAAGGCCCAAAATTTATTTCCCTTATTTACTTTAAATGAAACCTTTATTAAGAGGACACCTCTATTAAGTGGACGCGGACACCTAAAAAGTACCTGAAATAGTCTTTTCTATTGTTGCCAACCTGTATTAAACGGACACTTGTAATCAAATTTCACTACCCAGCATGCCAGAGAACCGGAAATGTGAAAGATTACCTCGAATTGCCACCCACAACTTTTTCGATTTTTACATTAAAAGATTGTATTAGTTTCACAGTACAGTATTGTTTTCTATTTCGTTTTGTTTGTATAGAGCTTGCTTCACTCATCTGATTTCTTCAAATTTGAGTTGCAATCTATGTTTATAGTACTATGACCAGTTGGTCCACTTTGATAAAGAAATTAATGCAAACGTATATCGTCAAAGTCGCTGGGAGTATTCTTAACATTTCCACTGTTCATTTGAATGGCATTTGACATCTCATATGACGTTATCTATCGAAACCTGTATTAGGCAGACACCGTGTATTAAGCGGACACTACAGCATTCCCCGTGGGTGTCCACTTAATACAGGTTTCACTGTAATAAAAAATGCCTGGAATCTGGCTGAGGCCTAACGGAGTGAAAATGTAGCATTACCTAAAGAACTCATGTATATAGTTATACTGTACAAACACAAACTTTGTAGGGACTTACTGTTAAGAGAAAAATGTTACCTGCGTAAAACTGATGGTGACTGTAGAGGAAACGTTTGGACCATCTCTTTCAAATATCTTACTCTCACTGACCTGAAAGCGCAATATAACAGAGAAAAGCTCTTCAATATAAATCATGCAACAATATTCTTTACTTAATCTAATTTTTTGACAATGGTGAAACATGGTGATAGCGGACGACACAGGACATGAATCCAAATTCCAAACTGACAACAACAAGGCCTTAATCACAATACACCTAACTCAATATAGGTTATCCAGTCAAGACAGTAGGGACTGCCACCAAGTTGAGTGAAACATAAAAATAGCCACTCAAAGCATTAAATAACACAGCAAACTCAAAAACACATACTAAGGTTATTTTAGCATAACAGTCTGGTTCATTTCATTGTTGCTATTTGTAATGTTTGAAATAATGCTTGAAAGACTTTTTTTGTGACTTAAGAAGCCGTAGTTTTGTCATTGAAAAATAATTTCCCAATTTTCATAGTGAATATGAAAGTGAAATTAGTATTATATTTAAACAAAATGAACTAGTCAGTGATGATAAAGTCCATTATTTTTTTTTTATCTCTCTTCGAACAACAGTGTACATGTAGCTTCTTCTACACCTCATAAAAGTCAGATCAGTGAAGGAGCTTTGCTATGAGATGGGGACAATGGGTTTTCCTCAACATCTGAAAATGACTACAGTTCCTAACTATTAATTTTGCTTATGTGAAGGCTGTCCCCTCACCTAAGTGGTTTTAAGAGCAAGAGCGTTAGTCCAGCCAGGGATCAAACATGGGCATACCACTCAAAAGCTTGGAGCCTAGCCAATTGAGCAGCCATAAACGTAAGCTCTTGCAGGCAAGCTCATGGATCAGAAGGTGGCCAGGGCCGGGCATTGTAACATTCTCATAAGTCTCAATATCTCCTTCTGCACCCTTCCCTTCAAATGCATGCTGCGGCACAGCAAAGAGAAGTGAAGTACGCCTGATACTTGCATTCCTTCCCCAACCCATTTCCTTACTTCTGGTTATTTGCTTCAAACTCTTGATGACTCAAACTTTTTTTGATTTCCATGGAAGGTTCAAGTCTTTATCAGGAGTGGAGTGGCCTGTAATTCACTTACAGGTATCACATGCAATCCATATAAAATTAATGGCTTTTTATACTTACCCTAAATGTTACATACAGTTCTCCAGCCTCTACAGGTACTCTGACCATTTGACCATCCTCAACTCCTATAGATTTGGATAAAACTGATGTTAAAAACATCCAAAGGAATAAGTACTTTGGCAGGGTGTCTGTGTCAATAATATAGCAAAATCTATCGAGGGTCTCCCAAGGCTAAACAAAAACTTGTCTCAGCAGGAAATATATCACACATACTTGCCTGCAAAGGAAACAATTTCGAAAAATGTGTTTCCCACAAATGGAGCCTCTGATTCGCAAGGTGAGAAAGTGTTGTTCTCTCCCCCACCTTCTTCCTTTTCTTTTCTCTCTTTTGACAATTCTTTGCAACAAACTCTTACACTGTAGGAATACCTACTATGTAGGCTTCAAATTCTAAAGTTCCCCAACACCATATATAATTATTATAAAATTAATACAGCTTGTACAGCACCTGCTGGAACAGGGATAGTAACGGTTTTGGTTTCAGTAACTCTTCCTTTCCCGCGGCACTTTTTACAAGGTGTGCTTATAATATGACCTTGTCCACCACATCGCCGACATGTTGATCTCATGTGAAAGAAACCTGTGTTTACTGTTTCCTGCGGTTGAAAACAAACATGGATACACGAGAAAACTATCAACATGGATACAGTTACTAACAAGCTGGCAAGTACACTGTAAGGGCATGTACCTTTTCTCAGACTTACCAATTATTATTAAAAACCACACACTTTACAACAGCAAGTTACCCTCAAAAAAGGTAGTATTCTGCACTTTCCTGTTGTGGTCACTGTAGTTGGGGCCCAAACTTAACCAAACAACTATGAAAATCTATAGTCCCTAATCTTCAATGAAAGACAGCTAATCCAGCCTGGTGAGCGTCTGTTCCTATCTCCCACTCAAACTGAAACACTGTTTTCTTTACATTATTCAACTGCTGTGATTTATTATTTAGGTAAAAAAAGTGAAGGACAGTGTCAAACAAAGAACACTAATTACCATTTCTAAGGACTGCATGAGCTGGCTAGACCAGACCAATTGGGCCTAACAGGAATTTTACTGCTAATAAGGAGTTTTATACCTGGTTTCTTTTACTTTTCTTGGAGCATCCAATAATCAAACTATAGACTAAAGGAATTAAATCTGAATTTGCTAATTAAAACTTTTATATACACTGTATACCCTGGGTTATCTTAATCCAGTGTTGAACAACCTGGCCCAGGACTGTAAAGCCAGACCAGACTATAACTTGGTATTAGTATAATAAAAATTATCATACTGTAGTGAAGGGTTTCTACTGAAAACTCACAAAAAATCATACTAGTCCAGCAGATTAGTTCTGACTTTTGATAAGTACAATGTTACAGTGTGGATACTCAAACTGGGACACTTTAGAAGAAGATTGTCCCACCACAACATTTTCTGGAAACAAGTGATTCTCAAGTTTTTTTTGTAAACGGACCAATTACATTCAAGGCTCAACTATATAATTGTTGAAAACTTTCAAACCCTTTGAAATTTACAAAATTAATGTTATTGGTCTGTTTGCAAAAAAATTGAAAATCTTTCCTTTCAGAAAATGCTGTGATTGAGCAATCTTCTTCCAAGTGACCTGGTTTGAGTGTCTGCACTGTAAGTTTGAAAGTAAAAAAAAAAAGATCAGTACCTCTCCAGTTCCTTTACACGTGGAACATGTAGAGTAAGTTGTCCCAGGTTCTGCCCGTTTTCCATCACATCGGTCACATATCACTTGTGTTCTTGCTGTTATGTCTTTGTTGCAACCTTTGGCTGCTTCCATGAATGACAAGTTCAACACATACTAAAGAAGAAAAACAAAGCATCATTCGCAATTGTCAACAGTGAAGTGCGAATTATACTTGTTGTTACAAAATAACTACAACCACATGTATCTTGACTCCAGCGCACTTTGGTATAGAAGGAATTTTGAGCCACTATTTTTCACATTGTACAATTACTACAATAATTATGGAGCTTAAACAACAACGACAGTGATGGCTACAAAAACGTCACAAATTTTGTGAATTTGTGTTGCTTCAAACTTTAACGCTCTTATTCCATCTTGTTTAATTTGTAAAACTTTGGCAAATTTTTGTGGAGTTGAATTCTAAAGGACTGTATCAAAGTTCAGAAAAATGAAAATAAAGTCTTTTCCTTGAGATCATGTTCTCCACAAAATGTGACATCAGGCATTTTCATGTTGTAGTCATGCAGTTATGGCAAGGAAATGTACAAAAAAGTGTGATCAGGGGTAAAGTTGTTGTTTTGCTTATTTCAACTTATTGTGTTTTTTCAGTTCTGCATCGCTGTTGCCATCATCATTGCTTAAAGGGGCTGTGTCATGGCGGTCCAGTTCATTTTGTTTTATTTCACTAATTACTTGCCCTCAATCGCTATGGAACTTAAAGTAGGCAAAGAAATTACATGTAAATGACAAAATCAGAGATTAGAGACAAACAAATATGTCCCCTGAGCATTATTTTGAAGCTACAAACAGCAGAGATAAACTTTGAAAAACTGTTAGGCTGAACAGTTTTCAAAAACCCTAATTTCAATCCGTTTCAATCTTCTGTTGTGTTATTTTAACCTTCCTTTAATGTTTTAAGCAGTTATTTTTACGTTTTTTTTAGTTTGACGGGCATTTTGCAATAACCTAATTTGGCTGAATTTCGTGACACAGCTCCTTTAAGATCCCCAGTTTATTGTACATGTATGTACCTGTTGTACTTGATTGAAGTCTTCAAAACCTCCACTGCTGCTGGCTCCAAACCCAAATGGACTTCCCCGTTCACCAAAAAAGGATTTTAAGATGTCCTCTGGATCAATATTTTGCCCAAATGGACTTCGGGCACCAAAAGGGTTACCACCACCTGAAAAACAATAATTCATAATTTGAATAAAAATGTTACATGTTCAGCTGGTTGTTGCTATCTATTTAGGAGCGTCTAGTTAAGTGGCGTAAACAATTGGTCAGATACAATCTTTTGCAGATTCATATTTATTATTTTTTATTGATA